ATATCCGGGTGGATATCAAAAAACTGAATGCTTCGTTCGTAAAGCATATTCTGTGAGCGGAAAATGGAACGCGGTTGTGACAAAGGAATCAGATGGCGGTACGGACGGCAGAAGCAGTCATCCAACAAAACTTTTCACTTGAACAGATTTTCATGTTGCGTTCATTTCTTTTTCAAACGATCTTCTTTCTCTCCCTCCATAGCCCACAGATTGCCTATCTACCATAAACACTAGTACCAATGAAGAGGTCTATCATCTACAAATCACGAAAATCACGAGTGTCATAGACCCTGATGTTCTCTCGTCGTCTATGCTGTTCACCATTGTCTCCAAATTTCTACTTTATCTTTATCTACTGGTTATCCACACGGTTCCCCGACTGTGGCCGCCAAAGATTCAAATGGTCTTTGGTTAGAGACACTGCGGGGTATGGCATCGAACAGAAGTCAACGGGATGAATGCATCCTTGTTTGTGTGTTTGATACCAAGAGGTGCTAGCACAAAAATTCATTTCTAATCCTAAGCTGTTGTACCAACATGTCAACTCCATTCGGAAAGTAAAGTTTGGTATACCGGTGCTAAGTAGCGATGGAAGAGTTGCAGCCACTCCAATCGAAGCAGCGGAAATGCTGAAAATTCATTGTTCCAACGTATTCGCAGCACCGCATGTTGAAGGTGTACAACTACCCCAACGGTTGCATCATCTTCCACATCCTTCACTCAATTACATATCATTTACTACTGAAAACGTCAAAGCAAAACTAATGGCTTTGCGAAAAAACGCAACTCTAGGTGCGGACAACATACACCCGAAATCTCTGATCTTTTTGTCAAATCACATATCCGAACCGCTAGCTATTCTGTTTCAACGCTGTTCGACCAAGCAACACTCCCCGAATCATGGAAACAAGGAGTCATTTCTCCCATATACAAAGGTGGTTGTCGTAGTGACCCCGTTACCTATAGACCTGTGACCCTGCTTCCGGTGTTATCGAATGTCATGGAGTCAATTGTGGCCGGTTCTCTGATGGAACATCTCGAAAGATACAGTATTCTCTCGACAGCTCAACACGGATTTAGGCAAACGCGATCCTGCACCACGAACCTGCTTCTCGTTCGAGATGAATGGACCAGTACAGTTGACGAAGGGGATGCGGTGGATGTTATTTATCTCAAATTCGCGGAAGCATTTGATCGAGTGAATCACAAAATTTTACTGTAGAAGCTCTATAATTATGGCGTTCGAGATTTCGCATTTGAGTGGATCAAAGCATTCCTCGAACAACGAACCTTATCAGTTCGTGTTTCTGATTCTGTATCCGTACTCGGTCCCCGTCTATTCCCCGCCTTCATAAATGATCTACCGAAAGTGTTAGTCTCAAAAACAATGCTGTTTGCAGATGACGCCAAAATCTGGAACACGGTAACAGAACCAGAGGGCTCTCAAACACTTCAAGAGTCACTCAACGCAGCTTATCAATGGTCTAAGGAGAACGACAGTGAATTTAATGTTTCTAAATGCGAAGTCCTATCCCTACGCCACAAGCGGAAATTCTCGTATTTCCTCCGGGACCAGCAGCTACCACATACTTCTAGCGAAAAGGACTTAGTTATTGTTGTTCAGGAGGATTTAAGCTGCTCCAACAATTGTGCTAAGGCTTCGTCTGCTGCTATGAAGAATGTCGGCTTACTTCGCCGAGTCTTTGGTCGGTTTAAATCATCACTATTCCCACGTTTGCTATCAGCGTACATTCGACCCTATACAGAGTACGCCATCNNGATCATTGGGACTATATTCTGCTCAGTACCGCCGAACTCGAGGCGACTTGATTTTGACGTATCAAATACTGCAGAACCCAAACCGTCCGTGTCGATCGCTTCTCATGTTATCGAACATTGTACACCTAAGGGGACACCGTTTCAAACAACTGATTCCAAAGTGTCGAC